TATTTGAAACAACTCTGTGATCGTTATAAGATACTTAAGCTACTTCTGAAAGCCTCAAAGGATATCGAATGTAACTAGTGAATCTCGTGTGATCTATGTGTGACATATCAAAAGCGAGTCGCTTGCTGTATGGAAATGGCGATTGAACAATGTGGGAGGATAGACTTACGTGTCGTTGGCTAGAAATTGATCTATTCTCGTGTCGCTAAATTTTGGCCATCTAGAAATGATCTACTTGTACTGTTTAATCACTTGATTCTCCTCTAAGAATGAAGTCACGGATAAAAATGAGAGAGAAAATTAAAAAAAATATATAAATCGTGATAGATGTGACAATTTACGGATAAAAAAAAAGAATTTGGAAGGATATGAATCCACGATGGAAAATACGTAATCAATGGATTCGATATCTCCAGATTTTTGATTTGCATCGAAGGAAACGCGAATAAGATATCGAGAATTCTATATTTGAATCCAATTGTTTGTGTGCTCTGTAATATTGCCATTTTGTGCTCGAGTGTATTCGTGTCTGGCTCGAGAATCAATCCACTCAGTGATAAAGTGTCTGAATCTTGAAAGCGAATGAAATCCATTGTCTATCGGTGTTTTCGGTGTACAAAGGAGAAACTTAGTTGCATGCACGCCAAGGATCATCAGGATTGCACTTTCGCGTTCTCATTCGTTAGATAAAATCATTGTTTCTTACTTTCATTTGATATTGATCAGCATTGAGAAGTCAACTTTTACATAATTATGATAATATCTATACGTGAAAAGTTCGTTTGAAATAGCAAGATTTTTTTTTAATTAATTGATAATATAATTATTTTTCGATTCAATGATATATCGTGAGATGCAGCAAGCAAGTTGAAAAATTAGAGACAATAATGGAGAGAAGAGTCAGAAAGATTTCTTTCTAAAGAAAGAATTACGAATTGCACTCTCGCGAAAGTACAATCCTGTAGAAAGGTCTGTAATGATACTGCTCCGGCAATGTATGCGAAACGCTTCCAGTTCCTCCAAATATATCGCAAAGAAAAGAGGTGAGTTCAAAGCTGACCGAGGAGGGAAACAACTTCCGGAAACACATCGAATAAAAGAACAATAAATTTTAATCGCGTAAAGACGATGGATGTTACGATTAAAACAATTTTTCAAAATCTTAAAACTCTTCAAATTTCAACCTATGAGCTCCAATAAAACTCAAATTAGTTTTTGAAAGCGTTCATCCATCGTCGAAATTAAAATTTTCCCATAATTTCGAGTATTGTTTCTTGAATGAATGGTTTAAGAGATCTACCATGATCGATATGATCGTGTGTGCGTGTGTTCCGATCGTAATCGACGAGAAATCGCGAAAGAACAGGCCATAAAAGTTAATCAGAAACGGTTCAGCTTTATCAGAGCTGGTTTTGATGGTGTACGATAATGAAAATGACAAGAATTCAGATTGATAGGGGTACAAATTGTATATGTACATTTTTGAGTAATATTCTCGATAGTATATGTTTTTATTAAATAAATAGTAAGTAGATAGAGCCGCTGATAGATAGAGACGACGAGAGATAGTCATTACATATATAGTTAAAGATTTTACTATATACATATATTTACATATACATTATATGCATATGTTCACGTGGCTTGAATGAAGAAATAAATATAGTCGAATACGATCACGTTGCGATAAAGAAAGTAAGTATTTGAACTTTAAAAATTTGGTAATAAACCTGAGCACTAGATATACGTAAAATAAGCATAATAGAAATTGAGAGTTTTGTGGCGATGGGGATAGAGCGTTCTCTTTTCATTAGAGTTGATCCAGGTTCGAATCTTGATTTCTTCGAAAAAATTTATTCTTCGTTTTTCTCGATTCTTTGACTATTATATTGGAAATAGTGTGTTTATAAATGATATTTCAATTTAAATAATATTATATAATTATAATTATCATGATGTTTCGATAAAAAGTTTTAATTAAATTCAAAATATGAATTAAATCAATTGCCCCTTCCTTATATCTTTAAGAAAATAATATTATAATAGAGTTCTTACTATATAAAATAGTAGAATATTACATAGAAAAATAGTTGTATAATAGTTAAATAGTTAAATATATAAATAAATATTTAGATTCAATAATAAACTAATAAATATTACTATAAAAATTAAAGTAACTATAAAAAGAAGTAATTATGTAAAATTGCTATATTATAATTAAATTATATTATAGCAATCGTTTTACATAGTAATAAAAAGAAGTAAAAAAATTAACAATTATAATTAGAATAAATTTCTCAACTAAAAGGAACAAAAATACTCTATATCTTTATCGCAACGTAGAATAAAAACGACTATACTAATTTCCTGAAAATTACAAGAAACGATCTCGTGGAAAGATACGATACACGAATATAATACACGCCATGAAAAAAGGGGGGGAAATCCTCGATAGAGCGGATCGAAAATAGTATAGTAATAGTATAGTTATAGTATAGTAATACGCAATGTATATTATACGTCTACAAAGAGGCGAAGAGAAGAGAAATAGTTTCATGGAAAAGATTAATTATAGGGGATAGTTTCACTAAAAAATTTAATGGGCAAAGACGAACAAAAAGCTCTTCTACCTTTAAACACGATCCTCATGACTGTGCTATATAAAGGTTCATTCGATCATCGCTTTTATTACAACTATCATAGTAAAACTAAACTTGAAAATTATATGCATATAATATCACTATATATAATACAATAATTTACAAACTAAAATATATGATTTCAATTTAAATATATCATAAATTCTATAATCTCTTAAAAGATTAATATATGGCGAAAAGATTCATTTAAAAGAGCAAATAAAAGAAGATCGTTAATGATAATCTACTAAAGATTGTCGCGCAATTGACGAACCTAAGCGACAAGTTTACCGACATATGCGTATATGTACACATATATCGGTAATCAAGACATGAGTATACGTAAATATAAGATGGGATAGCTGAGAAGGGCTATTGAAAAGGGGGGAGAGCGAGGTTAAAGCGAGGGGATACTTAACTACTCGAGCTATTGTCCAACGATCGATTTGCACGTGAACAGGAGTAACTATCTCTCTAATAATAGGCCGATATGCGCGCGCAAGTGCCTGCTCGTGATTTCGTTACGTAGTTCCAAAGGGACGAAAAGAGAAAAGATTCTCTTTTAATCGTAACTTTCCAAAGAGATACTACTTATACCTCCTCCATTTACGAACTGCACTCCATTTTTTCAATTAAAATCAAACGAAAACCTTAATATTCTATGCACAACACTATATCCAGAAGGTAACGTGACCGATTTCTCGAATCCTCATCGGTTTCCAATTTCAATCTGTGAGGATTCAAATCATCAATTAGTTCGATTAACTCGTTAAAACGTTACGTTTTTCCTTCCACACTTTTCAACCCCTTCGAGAAAAAATTTTCACAAAATGGACCGCCGTTTAAAATTTACGATGCCATCGAAAAGCAAAATGTAAATTCAGTAAATTCGCGTAAATTACCCTTCGGGGAAGGGTATTTCGGATCCGGGCCGGTAGCGAGAAATCCAGTTACAGCCGCGCTTCGAGCGCGGGTAGAACGGTAAATTCAGATTCGATCCATTAGCGGAATCTCGCTGGGAGAATTAACTGTCCCGGTTCGCTGGCTCGAACAATTAACGAGCTCAAAAGGCTCGAGCGGTTGGCCGCGTGTACGCGCGGAACAGTGAGCCGACCGATCGAACCGTTTCATCGTCGTCCACCCTCGTGAAAGTGGGAACTTGGAACGTTGGTGGAAAGTTGGAGAGGGCCGAGACGAATCGGCATCGCCAATTTCCGATACCCAAGTTCGAGTTTGAACAGATCTCGAAGCCTGTTCAACCGTGACACAGGCTGGTATCGATTCTTTCTTTTGTACGATAATTCAATGCGCGATAGTCAGTCCACAAGAAATTTGGAACAGCATTTTTGACAATTCTTGCGAAATTTTCTAGGAAAATTTTATCCAGGATTTATTATTATAGTTTGAATTTATTTCGAATTTTGTCGTGTGTATAAATGTATAAAGTTTTATTATTGGAAATTGATTTTTGTCATTATTATTATTCGCACAGAAATATTTGGATAGAAATTGAATGGTTTCAAGAGATGTTATTAACTTTCTTGAGGATGAACGCATAGAGGATTTACAAAGATCAATTTTGTTTGTTTTTACAAATGAAATTATGTTTTCTGATGCATTATTTATGTAACTTGACATTTTCTATAAAAAAAAAAAAAAGATTCATTTGACCTTTCGATGCGCGCGCAAAAAAAAAAAACCAATAATATCAGAGTATGCATAATTCAATTTCCATCCAAAGGTTTCTCACTGCGAATAATAATAACGAATAATAATAATAAAAATCAAAATGGTAATTTCAACTGAGACATCCTGTGAGACTTCTTGACATTATCAATTCGATTATATACAAATTATACGCGAAAGAATAAAAATTTTCAAGTTTAAGAAAAAAACTATTAGAACTAGTTATTCCTCATACTAGTATCGATAACAGCCTCTCTTCACAGCTTCAAACCGTTCCTTTTAAACAAAACAAAGCGCAATAAAATCATATCCCAATCGGTTCGATCAGCTGCAGCACATTCCAAGCATACACTCGACGCTGGAAAAAGGAGGAAAAGGGAAAGGGGGTCACAGAGAGGGGAGAGAAAGGGCAAAAAAATCCGTGTGGCACACGTTCTCGATACAGCCAGGCCCTAGAAAGATAGTACGACGACACAAAAATTGGTGAGGTATTCAAAATTCTCCGAATTGTCCTCTCATAGATTTCAGGGGTTGAAGGGAGGATTGAGTTGTGAATCGAGGGCACGAAAAAAAAAAAACGCGCGAAAAGAGGGAGAGCTAGAATAGAAGATTTTTCTTTTTTTTTTTTTTTTCTAAAGGTGAGAGTGAGAGACAGAGGATTCTAGGTGGTCCTACCTTTCACGTCATCGTCCTCGATCGTTGTGCTGCTGTCGGTCGATTCCTTCACCTGAGAGCCATCGCCCTTCTTCGTGATGATGCTCCGACCTGGAGCACGCAGAGCGTTTCAATAAATCGGCATTGACTGTGGTGATTGAACGGATAGTGATTGAGAGTAACATAAAGAGAAAGATAAAGAGAAATAGAGAGAAAGAGAGAGAGAATAATAGTAGATAAATAAGAGATTAATTGTTGGCCAGTTGTTGGAAGGCTGTTGGATGTTAATGGTTATTCTTTCTCGCGAGGACAAATCACAGCGAGAGCACACACAGTTGCACGAGGTGATGTGTTTTTTTTGTGGAAATCGATCGATTCGGGAGATTTTTGGGAATAATTGGAATTTAAGAAGAATAGAGAGAAAGAGAGAGAAGTCACAGAAAAATTCTGTGATGCTATTAAAAACAAAGAGAGAGATAGATAGTTGAAAAGCAGAAAAGATTATTATTAATAGACTGTGGATTTAATACTTTTCTTTTCTCATGTAACGAGTTCATTCGTGAATGGAGAATAATGAGGATATAATATCGACAAATGCAAAAATTTTGTAATTATATTCTCAAAGTAAGTACCAATTTATCAAAAAAAAAATAAAAGAAATAATGTTACGTTATAATGTATCAACATGTACATATAAATACACATTTTCGCATTCAATTAATATTCATTTGTAAAAAAAAAGAAATCCACAGTCTAAGTATCAGCGATCAAGATAAACTCGTGTCTTTTTTTAAAGGATGGAGAATTCCCAATTCAAAACAATTCTGAAATAAATTATGAAACGAATGCGATAAGAGAAATAACGTTATTTCGAATGGAGAATGGAATTGTGTTGGGGCAAAGCGTCGCATGTGGAGGATCTCTTCATTTGTCTCGTTTAAAGAAAGATGAGGCAAAAAAATGCGGAGAAAACCGGAAGAAATTACGGTTGAAAAATTGATCGAGGAGGTAACCTCGTCGAGTACGATGCTCTCGTTTGGATGCTTCCTCGGGCGGTGAATTATTCCAACTATCAGAGAGATCGTTCCCGTGGAAACGCGCTCTAAGGAGCAGTAAACGTCGCGGTGAGATTGGAAGGCGAAGTTTGGAAACAATGAGGGGTGAACGAATGGGAATCATCTATCCTTACGTTCTTCCTTCTTTTTTTTTTGCGCTTGTTGACTATGCAGAATTAAACGTTACACGGTGAAATTCTTAAGAAGAAGAAAGGAGAAAGAATTTTTGAATTGATTGAAAGGATAATTGTTTTTTTCTTTTTAATTTTTACGATTCGAATTTTTTTCGATGGCAAAATTTTGAAATATAAATATAATTGTTAAAGGATGAAGAATAATTTTTTTTTAAATCAATAATATTTGTAATCTTTTTTTTTCGTAGAGAAATTCTAAATTTGGAATATAAATTGATAATATATGTTAAAGAGCGCTTGAAGAAGGAAGAATTTTTGAATTAAATAAGATGATGTTAATATCCTAAATTTTCAATATCGTATATTTTCTATTTTTTAAATTTGGAATTGAAATAGATTTTTCTACAATTTGAAAATTCTTTGACGGAAATTTTATACTTATTCGAAGGGATATATATCGATATAAGGATCAAATAATCAAATACTATTTTATACAAGCATATCTCGATCGCTAGATTGAATCGAAACGTAGAAGAAAAAAGTCAAAAGAATTGAGATAAATCGAGAAAGAAGTGTTCTAAAGAAGGGAAACCTTCGGTGTCGAAGAAATTTCGACATCATTGGATTCCCTGAATGATCGAAACAATATCGATTCGTTCGATTTTAAATCAGTAGATATATATAACCAATAAGATCGACGTAACGATACTTATAAACACATTTAAAAAAAAAAACCTCGAATTAAAATTGTACCCTTAAAAAATAATAAACTATTAAGTTTATTATTTATTCCACTCGATGGCACATCGTGACGTCGATCGGATCGCTTAAAAAAATGAGAAGATATTCTATCGAATCGTCCATGCGGTCTAATCACTGTATATCCACATTTGAAAAGATTCGTGAAACAAGAAAGGAAGAGAGAGAAAAAGAAGAAACAATCCTGATCGATCTTTATCAATTAATCTATTTTCATAGAACTATTATATAGCTATATAATAGAGAGAAGATGGATGCAAATCGTTGAGAAGAAACGAGGAAGACAGAAGAAGAAGAAGAAGAAGAAGAAGAAGAAATTGGCAAAAAGAAGTCGCAGAAAAGAGAAGGACAAGGACGTGTATAAAGCAAGAGAAAGAGAGAGAGATATATATATATATAAGGAAAAGGATATCTTTTTTTTTTTTTTTAAACAGGATCATAATGTTTTCATAATGTTAAAACAGTGCATCGTGTTCTGCATGCGAGACAAATCGTGATCAATCATATTAATTCGAGCAACTCTGCCGATGCTCTCAAGACGACGTATCGGTGCCAGGGCAAAAGGGAGAAAAAAAAAAAAACAATGGTTCCTCTTTACCTTATGATGGCTCCTCTCGAGAGCTCGGCTTCGTTCCGTGCCAGCGAAGCGTTGCAACGTTTCACAAAAAAAAAACAAAAAAAGAAGAAAGAAAGAAAGAAGGAAAGAAAATGAAAGAAAAACGAAAAAGAAAAAAAGAAGAAGAAACAACAACGGTATAGTA